CCGTGTTTTAAAGATCACCACTCCTCAGAGCGGCCCATCCGAGACAAGGATGTGTGATCACTGGTCATTTCCATGTGGCCTTAGTGATACAAGAGCTCTGCTAAGTTAGTTGGAAGAAGGTTAAACTTGAGTGGGGTCACAGTCATTAAGTGAGCACACAATTCAGACTTGATCCCAGCCCTCTTTCCCATAGACTCAACAACTTTGTCTTGGTGGTGGCCTGGGTGAGGCCAGCAGGGCCTCATGGGAACCACAGGCCTGGGGACCTGAGTCATAGCTGAGCCTTCGCTAGGTAGGGCAGGCCACTCAACCAAATGGGGATAATCCTGGCCTTCCGGGATGTAGTGGGGTAAAGGTTGGGAGATTGTTATGACAGCTACAGAGATGCTAACAGACTAGAGCTCCTGATTTAAGGTATCTGCTGAGCTTAAATTGAAGTAATACTCTGTTATCAGGAAACTCGCAGGAATTTCAGATTCTGGTGTTAAACTTCAGCCAAGAATAGAGGTTGCTCAGAGAGCTCTGTGAGATTGTTCACAGGGAAATGTCATAGGTCCCTTTAGGTAATTTTAAGAAAGCCTTCCTTAACCTTTCGAAGTGGTGGGAAATTGATGTGTGTTGCTGAGCGCAGCCCCAAGAGGAACTTCTGTGGTGACATTACAGCTGACTTTTCAGTGAGGGTCAGAATCCCCGTGGGTGGCCCACGGAGTGCCGTGCTCATGATTCTCACCCTGGATGCATGACTCAAGAACTGTGCGTAATGGACACAAAGCTACACTGTCACATTTTCCCTGGAGGAAAAGGAGGACAAAAGAAGGGGTGTGCCCATATGTGTTGTGTATGTGGAGGCGGTGGGGGACAGCTTGTAGATGGGCTGGTTTATTCTCTAAGAGCTAAACCTCCAGTTCGTTCTTCTGATGGAGCTAGTTCGGAAACCGTGCCCTCTGATTGGGTAGGGCTGAATCCCACGAAAGGGTTCACCAGCACTTGCCCTTCAGGAGATGAGTGTGCAAGGCCAGGCCTGGCTGAGCGAAGCCCGTGATGAAGAGCAGGCTCTGCCGGACAGGGGCTCGCTGGCTGGAGTCTGAAAGCCTGGCACTCACATCCAGAGATGAATGGCCTGGCCGGGTCCGACTGGAGACTCACATCTCTTATCTCCACTGTTACAGTGTAGGTTCAGGAGGGGTTCTGGCCTTTGTCTGGGCTTGCTGTGCCGCTGAGAGCCGGCAGCTCCTGGTGGGTCTCACGGAGCTAGCTTAGGAAGGCGACGAGGGCAGGATCTCTCACACACCCAGGTAGGAAAATCTGACCCTAAGAGTGGGCAAGAGAAAGGAAGGTAAACGAATGTTCCTATTTGATGTTCAAATACCATATTTTTATGCTATTGCTTCAGAGATACTTAGATTTTGTAGTTTGGTTTTTGTTTTTGTTTTTGTTTTTTTTGGTGACTTAATTATCTATGGAGTAAATATCTACAAAATTCCAATTAAATGGTGTCTAAAATTTAAAGCAGCAGTCTGCAGGCAAAGCGCCAACATTTCTTTTTTTAAAATATATTTATGATACCATCTAGCATTTAAAAATCAACCAGAAACTAGGCTTGATTCTGTTTAATATTTTATATGATTGGACATCTTAAAAATGTTTCTATTTTATAACAATTCTGTGTTTATTCAAAACCATAATTCTACTGTGATGTTAATGGAATGACTTTATACGGCTTTAATTATGTTGGTTTAAGTGCTAATGACCAAGTTTCAAATTAAAGTAGTACTTTGCCGATAGAGGTAGACACCGATATGAAAAATGAAAGAACAGCTCATTTTACTGATTGTAAAGTGTTTATTTCAAGGGAAAAGAATGTTCTTTTTCTTAGGACTGTGGAAAAAAGTAATTTTTCCAAGAGTTTAAGATAGTTTTCTGGGATCAGAACTCATGCCTATGGAAATTTTGGAGCAGACTAAGCTACCTTTTAGCTTGATGTGTGTGCTAGAAAAATTTCATTATCATGTTTTGTGATATGTAATAAATTCAGGGTGCTGTGTTTAAGCTTCATTTCAGTTCAAGTTTGGGAACCTCTGTTTCCCGCCTTCCCAGACCTGGCAGACAACCCACCCCAGGCACCACCACCCCCGGACACCCCACCCCTGACACCCCCCCCGCCGGTAGACACCCCACCCCTGGTACCCCCCGGCAGATACCCCACTCCTGGCACCCTCACCTGGCAGACACCCTACCCCTGCCACCACCCCTCGGCATGCCCCATCCCCCCTGCGTCCTTCCCCAGATCCCATGTGAAAGAGTCAGGTCAATCCCGGACTTTTAGAAGATGTGTTTCTTCCTGCGTGGTGTGAGCAAAACGTAACCATGATTTCTAAACCTCTGCTTTCATGTCGAGGAAGAGTGATGCTTTTTATCCTCCTCTAATGTCTCTTTAATAAATATGTTGTCATTATTTGTCCTCAGAAGGGGCCTCTTGAGCCACCTCTCAGTTTTCTCCATGATTTATGTTGCAAACAAATTCTCTGTCCTGTGTCTGTTCACCACACTCTCCTGATCTTGTGTACCATCGAAGACCTGCTGGAGACCATTTTTGTTTTTCTTATGCAATTATGTTATATGTGTATTTCAGTGAAATGTCAACCCGCCAACAGTGGATGATGTTAAAAATTATCCAAATAAATAGTTTTCTATTTCTTTTAATCAGACCTAGTCCAAATTGTTGAATGACAGTGAATAGGATTATCTGTTTTTTTTTTTTTTTTCAAACTCAGGGGTATTCCAAGCCCGTGGTGCCTCGTGAGATGGGCTCATATATATAATTTACCTGGGGGTGTTGACTTAGTGCTTTGTCACCTATGTTTATCTTATAGACACGACAGCAGGTGTCTCAAACCTGGTCTTTGATTTGGGAGCCTCAGATCTGCCTTTCCTCCAGTGATCCAAAACCAGACAATGAAATCCTGGCTTAGCTAATCTTCCCTTGATGACTGTGCTCTGGGAAACACTGAACGAATGAGCTGCAGGCTGTTCAACGCTGCTGGGCTGGACCTTCCTGCACAGGCCCGCAGCTCTGGGTGAAAAAGCTCTCCCCCACTGGACATTAGCGTCGCCTTCTCGATGTTTCCAAGAGAATGGCAAGTGGGTCCGCGTCTAAGCCAGACGATTCCCCTGGCTCAGATGTGCCAGACTTGGGGATCCTGAGCGAGGGAAAGCGTGTGTGTGCACCTACATGAGCGTGTATGTGTATGCTTGTGCGCGTGCAGCTCGTGCCTGTGGTCAGAGGGACAGGAGAGTGAGAGGTAGCCTCACTGACCATACCACGAACTATTCTGGGTTTGGTGGCAGGACACATGTGTCTTTCCCCAACGAGACCACAGCATTCCTCGCCAGGAACCTGAGAGCTCTGAATCCAGGCAGCTCTTGCACACCCACAATTCATGAAATGGAAAGACACCCCCCGCCCCCAGCCCTGCTCCTCTATTCAGAGAATGGATCATATCAGACCTAGCCTGGTATACCATTTTTAACAGCATTGTCTCCTATGGAGGAGGAGGCTGTTTTCACAGGAGCTTCTTAGGAACTTCCCGTAGGACTTTACTTTCTAAATTACCATCACTACCACTGGCTTCTGCAGAAGACCAGTTGTGAGCATTCCCACACCAGGGGGGCCAGCCTTGTGGGACCTGGCCAGACCGTGGCCACTATCCCCACCAGCCCCTCCCCTCCCAACTCCCTGCTGCTGGGGGTTGTGGAGGAAGGGCCAGGAAGTGGTCCCCTCCCCTGATGCCCCACCTCTAAGCCCAGTTGTTCCCTGCTGACCACTGTGATGTAGTGTGCAGATCAGCCCTGTGCAGCCAGGACTCAGACAGTCTCCGCTGTGGCAGAAGGACTGCCAGCAAATGAGAGGGTCCTGCCCAAATATAGGACAGGGGGCACTTAGGCCTGGTGGCAGGGAGGAAATGCCTCTTTGAGATGCCAGTCTTTTTGTGGAAAAGGATGAAGTGGCTATACCGTTCCTATTAGTCTTTAAGTCAGCATGCTGTTTTTCTTCAAATTGTCAGAACAGAACTTTCTCAGAGCCAGCAACTCATCCCTCCACATGTATAGCAGAATCATCTCTGGTGTTTCCCTAACAAAGCTGGGAACAACAGAAGGGCGTCTCCCAGGCCCTGTTCCAGTGGAACCCAGGGCCCAGTGTAAGGAAAGCCAACCGTGAGGGCCTTAGGCAAAGGACTGTGTCTGTGAGGGGCCAGGAGGGGTCACCTGGTGGGTCCCACACAGCCTCCAGAGGCTGGTGAGCCCTTTTCAATGTGTTGTGGTCTTCAAGAGGATGATCCAGCTGTTGGCAAGCTCTTGGCCTGACCCTCCAGGGCACCACGGATGGCCACGGAGGCTGGCGCTGCACAGCGGCCCGGGTCTGTGTGCGTGTCGACCCATTCCGTCATGGTCCTGAATGTGCTGGTGATTGCAGTGTGTGCACCTGTCACTCCCTCGTTCCCATGGCTTTCTTGCAGAACCGGTGGCCCCGCTGGCTGCTTGGTCAGCTTGCCCCCTCATACCCGTACTTAGGTCATGGCCAGTGAGTCCTGGCCACCCTCCCCATCGAGTGGCTGGGTTGTGCTCCTGGCCCTCTCTGGGGCTCTAGGAGAGGACTCTGCAGGCCCTCCTTCTGTAGACTGTCATTTGGATGCAGGCATGTGCTCTTGGCCATGGCAGACACTGTTCCCTGACAGTTGGGCTATGTGAGAAGGAAGTGACTGGGTCGGAGGCCTTGAGCACCCTAGTCTAGGACCGTCTGGAACTCCTGACCACACCCTTCAACCCCGGGGCTTCAGGGACCCTTCAGTTACATTCACACGGGTAGTCACTCCCATGGGTTGCCCTTTGGAGAAAGCTTCCCTCGCCACAGCTGAATCAGGCAGGAGCAGAGCCAGGACCCAGGCTGGGCCCAGCGCACCCATATTGTCTAATCCGTTTTGCCATTTTTGTTGATCTAGGCAGGATTAAGGACACTGCATGACATTGGGCCAGAAATCCGGCGTGCTATATCATGTGATTTGCAAGATGACGAGCCGGAGGAAACAAAACGAGAAGAAGAAGAAGATGTATTCAAAGTAATTATTCCACGCCTAGCTACACACTGGCCACTTGGAGATAGCGGGGCAGGACTTCAGTTTGGGCAGTCGGTGATCCACAAAAGAACCTGGAGAATGCACGCCAGCACCCGGGCCTAGAGGGGCTCACGGACCATGCTCTCCCCACAGCAGACCTTCGGCACCTCCTCTAGGGCCAGGCCTGCTCCTGCCCTGAGCTGGCCCCTCTGTCCCACGCTGGCCGCTTCAGAGGAGCCTGGCCACAGCTGCTTGGCCAGTGTGGCTGAGCCTCCTGAGTCCCGCTAGCAGCTGCCCACCTGTGTTACCCCCTTCTTCCCTGGGCTGGCCCTCAGCACCCCTAGCCCAGAGAGCATGCCTCCTGTCCAGCCTCAACTGCTGGGGGCTGCCAGTCAGCCTTGCTGGGTATAAGTCACCTCAACTTGGATCGACGTGAAGAGCACACTCGTGTGACAGCCAAGAGCTTGCTTCCCAGCTCAGGGATCGGTAACCTTCCTCATTTCAGGGGGACCAGCTGCCACACAGACACATCCGCCCTGATCTGTGAGACACTCAGATTGTTTTTACAGGGATCCTACGGAGCTTACCTAGAATTTGTGTTTCGTGTAGAAAAAAATTACCTAACAAAGCTAGCCTGCATCAAATACTTGTTAAATTACCTGGTGTTGTCTCCCATTATTTTGCAGAGAAATGGTGCCCTGCTTGGAAACCATGTCAATCATGTTAATAGTGATAGGAGAGACCCCCTTCAGCAGACCAATACCACCCACCGTCCCCTGCATGTCCAAAGGCCTTCAGTTCCACCTGCAAGTGATACTGAGAGACCGCTGTTTCCTCCAGCAGGAAATTCGGGGTGTCATAGCCATCATAACCATAATTCCATAGGAAAGCAAGCTCCCAGCTCAACAAATGCCAATCTCAATAATGCCAATATGTCCAAAGCTGCCCCTGGAAAGCGGCCCAGCATGGGGAACCTTGAGCATATGTCTGAAAATGGGCATCCCTCCTCCCACAAGCATGACCGGGAGCCTCCAAGAAGGTCCAGTATTAAAAGGTAACCTTTAAAATGTGTTTGCACTTGGTGACGTAGTGTCTGCGCAAGGCGCTGCTTTCTCCCCAGTGCTCTGGCACACACGGGAGATGCTCAGGAGGCCCTGACCCTCGAACCCGTGAGTGCCGTGAGCTCATGGCCTCATCAGGCACTAGCCAGTGACGAACCCAAAGGATAAAGGGCCACCAGCCATCCTGTGTCCTGCCAAAGGGGATGCCCCTTCAAATGGCAGCAGTTGCTGTGAACTCTGCCTTCCCCAGTGGTGCCAACATACTTTGGGACAGAGGTTGGCAACGTTTGTAAAGGGCCAGATGGTAAATATTTTAGGCTTTGGGCACCATACAGGCTCCATTGCAGTGACCGAGCTCTGCTCTTGTAGAGAGAAAGCAGTCATAGACTGTTTAAATGCATGAGTGTGGCTGTGTCCCAGTAAACCTTTATGGACACTGCAATGTGAGCTTCACGTGGTCCCACATGGTGTAATATTTTTCTTCCTTTGAGTTTTTTGCACTCCTTTAAAAGCGTAAGAACTGTTCATAGCTCATGGACAGTATATGGCCCATAAACCATAGTTTGCTGACCTCTGCTCTAGGAACTAGCCTGATAATCTGCATTTTAAATTTTATTGGAAATACTTAACTTTTATCTTCTCCCTCCCTCCCTCCCATGTTATGCCTTTCCTGGATAGAACCCGCTATTATGAAACTTACATTAGGTATGTGCTCATTGCCTGTGTTTGTGTGTTAAATACTCTGTGTTGTGAGTGTGACCAGCTGGCCTCTCAGTGCTGGGAGGGATGAGAACTTCCTTTCAGGCAGCAACCTCATAGGATAGTGGAGCTTGGGGCTATGGGCTCCAGAGGCAGAGGTGGTTGCTTCTTTCTTCCCTCCTTCCCTTCCTTCGTTTCCTTCCTCCTTTCCTTCCCATCCCCTCCTCTCTCTTTCTCTCTCTCTTTCTTTCTCTCTTTTTTTTTAAGATTTATTTTAGAGAGAGAGAGCACGTGCAAGCGGCGGGTAGGGGCAGAGGGAAAGGGAGAGAAACTCAAGGAGGTTCTTTGTTGAGCACAGAGCCCGACGCAGGGGTGCGATCTCATGACCCTGAGATCATGACCTGAGCTGAAACCAAGAGTCAGATGCTCAACCAACGGTGCCACCCAGGCGCGCTAGTAGTTGTTTCTTTCTAAGCAAAGGAGCTTTTAGGTCCATATGTGCATAGACTGTGTCATCCTCCAAGGACTAGTATTCCCACGCCAGTGTGCCCATGGGCTAGCCCCTGCAGGCACACCCCGTGACCGCCGTGTGGGGAGAGCCCACTGTGCGCTCCCGGGCGCCTGGCCCTGGGAGGCCGGTGCTACCTGCCTCTGCTGGCTGGGTTCACGCCTCTTGTGGGGGCTTCATAAAAGCATGGCCCCAACCTCCTGAAGACCAGGGACCGGGTCTTCTCCTTGGTCTCCCCTGCAGCCCTCAACATATGTGCAGTGTATCCTGCTCCGTATTTGCTGACCCGGGTTGTATGGTCAGCGGGATGATCATTTTGTTGGGGACAGAGAGGCTGGGTCTCCTAGTTTAATTATATCAAGTGCAACCTGCTGCTCAGGAGCAACTTGAGAGAATGAAGAACTTGGAGGGAGCACTGTCCTCTCTTTGGAGAGAGTCGATGTAACAGAGCCTGGCTGGCTTTCCTGAGAACTGAGGCCAGGATAGCAGCTTTCAGGGAGATAGCACAACAGTCTTGCCATGTGGGTAGGGCCGTCTTTGAAAACTTGGCAGGTGTCATGCATGTGAGTCTCCCCGGGGACACCATATCCCAAACTCTTGTCACCTTTTCCTGGGTCAGAGGTAGTGGGAAACTGGTCAGGGAGCCTCTTTGTTCCAGAGCCTAAAGTACACGGGCCAGAGGAGGAAGGAGCAAGGATCAGAGCAGGTGGCCTGGGAGCCCAGCGTATTCTCCCTGGGACTGCCGATCGCTGCAGGCCTCTAGGTCCATTTCCTTGTTCTGTTCCACCAAATGACACCCACTCCTTTGGCTCCATGGCCCCTGAGCATGGTGGTTTGGCACCAGCATTGTGCAAGGTAGTGAGAGAGCGGCCCCTTCCCAGCACGCGCACATGCTCATACACACAGCTCTGCCACCAGAGGCCTGAACGGTCCAGTCCTGGGGACACCAGGGAGAAGCTGGGGGCACGTGGGCCCGGGGTGCTAGCAATGCACCGAGGCCCAGCTGGGTGCTCAGGGGCTCGGGCCCTCTCTCACCACTGTAGGTCTGACTCGAGGGATGAGCAGTTCCCCACTATCTGCCGGGAAGATCCAGAGATCCGTGGCTACTTCAGGGACTCCTGCTGCTTGGAGGAACAGGAGTATTTCAGCGGTGAGGAGGGCTTTGAGGATGCCTGCTCGCCGACCGGGGCCAGGTGAGCAGCTCTGTGGCTCTGGCTGACGTCAGGAGGCCTGGCTCTCTCCTGCCCCTCATACTCTGCGGCAAGGGCCCGCCTGTACGACACCTGGACTTCTCCCAGGGCCCTGAATCTTCCATGAAGCTGAGGACTGACTGCCTGGCTCTCAGCCAGTCGGGGTGTCTAGGAAAGCTGGGGAGAGGACTGTAGTCATGGGGCTGTCTGAGCTAAGAGATAGGGCTTGTTAGCAAAGATCTCATGTGCCCCTTACGCTCTCTCCTCGCCTTTCTCACCCCCAGGCAAAACTACAGCTACTACAGCCGATACCCAGGTGGCAGCTGGGACTTCGAGCGGCCCCGAGGCTACCATCACCCCCAAGGCTTCTTGGAGGATGAGGACTCGCCTGTTTGCTATGATTCCCGGAGATCTCCAAGGAGACGCCTACTACCTCCCACCCCGACATGTGAGGCCAGATTTTTTGTTTTAGGTGAAGCCTCCCAGAGAACAGTATGCTCCTTCCCCAACCCCGGCCCCGAGGAAGTGTGACAGATGTGGTCGTGCCGTGCTAGGGACTGTCCTCCGTCCACAAGACCAGCCCCCTGGTTGGAGACCCTATCGGTATCAGCTCTTCCTTCTGGCTCATCCGTGTCCCACGTGATTGAGCTCAAACCACTTCCGGGCCATTTTGACTCTGAGCACAGAGAAAGGCAGCATGTGGTCCTAAGCGTGCTCAGTACGTGGTATCTGATGAGGGGTTTTCGTGCACATTATCGTTGCCTTGGAGCCTGGGGTTCATCATGTGGGGTAGGCACGATGTGCAGCGTGGGGTTCTCAGGCCCTCTCTGTGGACAGGGTAACTGACCCTCAGAGGGCGGAAGTGAGCAGCCCCGGTGCAGAGCTGGACCTGAGCCCAGGCCTGTCCCACCAAGCACCACCACCCCCCCGCCTCTGGGGGGCCCCTGGGGACTCTTGGTGTCCATCTCTGCCCAGTTCCCACCAGGGGCTTCCCCTCTTACCATGTTTCAGCCAGTGCCCTTGCTCACGGGGCAGGTGTTGGGTCCACGCCCCCATCCTGGGGCTGGAGGAGTCCCATCCCGCTGAGAAGAGGCAGGGGGCCAGCTGTTTCCCACCTGGTTTTCTTACGCCGGTGGCCTAAGCAGGGCTGCAGGAGATGTGGCTCACCCCCAGTGAGGGACTTGGCCTGGGGTAAGAAATGACGCCGTGACCCCTGCCAGCTCCTGGCCAGGCAGTTGGATTTTGCACATGGGGGCATTTTGGTGACGGTTAAAGAATATCCGTTCCTGGTGTTTCTGAGGAATGGCGCATATTTCTGAGCAGGACTCCAGTCAGCAACCAAAAATAGCCAAGACACATTGGCTCTGAGTCCGCTGACTCTGTGTGCAGTAACCAGTCCAGCTGGGTGGTGCCTAGGGCCCTCTCCTCTCTGCTGCAGTCTCAGCCCTGCTGGGGAGTGTCATCAGACCCATTTCCATAGTTTATATTTCATTCTGCAGCCCCAAACACATGCTGCCGAACAGAGCAATTCTGAGCTCCCTGAATATGGGGCGACACGTGGGTGAGCCCGGCAGAGGCCCCCTTGTCTGTGGACTGCCCTGCCCTCTCTGGACCCTCCCTGTGCCCTACGGTGGCCACATTAATGCCCACCATTCAGAGGCACTACCCGAGTGAAGTGAGGAACCCCAGTGGGCCAGAGCAGATGCCCTCTTTATCTGTAAGGGCAAATCAATAAAACGTATTTTATTTGCTTTGCTGCCCATCGCTTCCGACCTTGGGCAGGGGAAGGTGGATGTCTTCTGCCTGTGTTCTCAGCAACAGTAGAATTCCTTTCTCTGTCAGAGTTGGTTGTCTGCACAGCAGACAAGATGATCAGTGTATCCAGGGACGGATTTTCAAAACCAAAAGGCACTACCCGAATGAGAGAGATGGTGGTTTCCTCTCCTGGCTCCGAGCCTCTGGCCCTGGCCGGCTGCCCCTAGGAGGGTCCTCAAGGGTGTGCCGACGAGGGAGGCCCCTGTGTGGTGCAGGGAGGCCAGCCTGTCCGATGAGGACAGCAGCTGTCGTGCAGCTCTCTGTGTCCCGCGGAGGCGACTCGAGGAGGAGGCGGCGGTCCAGCACGCCCCATAGGGGCGCCTCAAGCCTGCGTGGCCGGGGCTGCTGGTCTGTTCTCCCCGCACTGGGCAGGGTCAGCCCAGGGCTCAGCCCAGTCTTCCCACACTTTTAGATTAGAGCGCTCACAGAACCTGGTTCCTGCCGCTCTGTGTGACTCCCAGGAGGCCTGGGCGGCTCGCCCGTTTTCCAGTACAAGAATCCGGGGGGTGGAGTTTTGCCGGGCCGTGAGAAATGCCCTGGGATCTTAGGAAGCAGAGGCTGAGGAGACCTGGCTCCTGCTTTGCAAACTGTCAGTAAGGCCCCCATGCCGTGTCTCTAGGGCCAGCACCCTCGAGGCTGGACCTGTCCCGGGGCGGGGAGCGTCTGGCCTGTGCTTGGGGGCCCAGAATTCAGACCGACCTCCTGGGCCCTGTGTCCTGTGAAGCCACAAACTCGGGACCTCTTGTCATTGCTCAGCCTGTGCACGAGCCTCTGTTTTGAGTAGCTGATAATGAGACAGCCGTGTTCTCTAACATCAGAGGTGTTCTTTTCCGGTTTTGCCTTCAGGGCTAGAGAAGCTGGGTCTTCCCCAACCAAAGGATTTGCTGCTTACCTGGTTGAGCGGATAGCAAGTCACTCCCCTTAAAGCAGGTATAAGCATGGGAGCACCAGCAAGATGCCGGGGGCCCCAGAGACACATAGGATGCCTGCAGGGAGAGAAGGGGGCAGCAGCAGGTGTTTGCAGGATTCTAGAACGACGTTGTGTTCTTGACCTGAGTGCTGTGTTCCCCACAGTGTGTGTACAGGGCCAGGGGCGTCCAGTCAGAACAGGTGCCCTCTGGAGCTTTCAGCTCCGCCCCATGAGAACAGGCACTACGTTTGCAAGGAACCAACTTACACCTACTAAAAACATCCCTCAGTTGGGCAGCTTCTTCATCCTCCCGAAGGTCCAAGACCTCACTACCTAATACTTCTCCTTGGATGTGTGACTTGCTTCCTCTTGGGCCCCCCGCCGAGTGTCCAGGGGCCCACCCTGACCCCAGAGCCCCGGGGGCCCCACAGAGCCCCTGTTGCACAGCTGTCACTGTGCTTCACTTCTCAGCCCACCGGAGATCCTCCTTCAACTTCGAGTGCCTGCGCGGGCAGAGCAGCCAGGAGGACGTCCCGCCGTCCCCCGCCTTCCCCCACCGCACAGCCCTGCCTCTGCACCTGATGCAGCAACAGGTGAGCCTGCCCACCTGGCCTTGACACCACAGGCCCAAGGGGCCGCCTGTGTGGGACCCACCCTGGGGCCACCCACTTCCCTCGGGCTGCCAGCAGCAGGAGGGAAGGAGAGAACCTTCACAGACACTCTGGTTCAATCCTGGAGCAGCCCTGCCAAATAGTTACTATCACGAACCCCATTTCACAGATGAGCGAATATCAAGGAGAGGGTAGGTGACATGTCTGAGCTCACACAGGAGGTGCGTGACCGTGTTGACCTATGAATCCAAGGCTGCCAGCTTCCCAAGCTGGGCCCTCGGCCGTGGTGCACACTGTGTTCTCTCCTGGGCACTGAAGACGGGGCCTGGGACAGTCCCTGACCCAGGGAGGGGTGGCCGCTTGCCTGATCCTGAACAGTCAGTGCTGCCCTTTATCTGCTCTGAGACATGGTTCCTTCATTAAGACATGTCTGTAGAGCCCTTTGTGGGCAGGGCGCCATGGTCACGGGTGGGTGAGCCTCTGACCCTGGGCAAGGAGAGAGTGCGGTCCAGGGAGAAGGACCCGTCCATGGTGAGGTGGCTGGACAGGAGAGAGCCCAGGGCCTGGAGGGAGGGTGGGGCTGCAGCCCCCTCACCAGGGCTTTGCCTCAAGGGCAAGAAGAGGGCACTTCTTCCTCCTGCAAAGAGCACATCAGAGATGCAGTCCACTGTGTACATGTGTCAGGGGCCGGAAGGCGTGCGGGGAGCATGCGGGGAGCACCCGGTCCGTAAACGTGCAGAGCCAGCTCACCCCCAGCTTGCTTACTGCCGGCATCCTGAGCACACGAGCACTAGCTTCCATTTCAGGTATTCCATTCAGGTCTCTCCGCCAACTTGTCACTTTTCTGCCTTCAGTTTTTATATTAATTTTTATTCGTGTCCTGCTTTGTTGTGGAAGGACAAGGCGTGGGAAGGCCCAGCCATCAAATGCCATGAACCGAGTAGGCCTGGAAGTCTCCACGGGCACGTGCATGCGAACACCCCTCCCTCTGCTGTCCGGCCCCCACGAGGGCCAGATTTGTGTCTGCACTGCCTCCCGCGGCTGGCCCTGGCTTCTGGTTGGGTCACGGGCCTCCGTGGCGCTCCGTGCAGAGAGGGAATGCCGGGCTGGCTGCTGGGGCACAGCTGGGGGCAGGGGCAGCAGGGCTTGTGCCCAGAGCTCCAGAGCAGACCGGAGGCTGGCAAGTGTGATGAATGGCACTAGAGGAGAGAGGACTGTGTTCCTTCCGAGGGCCGGGAATGACTCGTTTGCCCCTCATGTCCTTCCATATTTAAACCGAGAGCGAACTGGGTGGTGTGTTCATACAGCCCAGGGTGAATGTCTTCCCTAATTCTCCACCACTCGGCCGCAATTTCACGAATTAGCGGCTGATGCCTCCTTAAGAACAGTCATGAGAATGCATTATGGATTTGGGGAAACTGAAAACAGTCTGCCAGAAAGCCAGATTTTACTGCCTGTGTCCTTTTCAAGTCCTTGTCCCTTATCTGTGGCCACCCCCATGCATCCGTACCTCCTGCTTGGTGTGCATGGGGAGGCCTGGGGCCCGCACCTGAGGACCTCTGGCCCCGCCTCCTTTCGTCTCTCCCCAGATCATGGCAGTTGCGGGCCTGGATTCCAGTAAAGCCCAGAAGTACTCACCGAGCCACTCGACCCGGTCATGGGCCACCCCTCCGGCGACCCCTCCGTACCGGGACTGGACACCGTGCTACGCGCCCCTGATCCAGGTGGAGCGGCCGGAGGCCCTGGACCAGGTCAATGGCAGCCTGCCGTCCCTGCACCGGAGCTCCTGGTACACGGACGAGCCTGGCATCTCGTACCGAACGTTCACACCAGCCAGCCTGACTGTCCCCAGCAGCTTCCGCAACAAGAACAGTGACAAGCAGAGGAGCGCAGACAGCTTGGTGGAGGCGGTGAGTGTGCCATCCGGCACAGCAGAGGGGGACACGCAGGCGCCGTGGTGGTTCTGAGGGTGGGGGGGCTTGGGAGCCGAGCTGGGTCCCTTCTCCTCTGGATCGCACCCATTCCTCTGAAGCAAAGATGGTACGTATAGCGCAAGTGTAAGAATACCGCCACTGGGACGCCTGGGTGACTCAGTCTTTAAGTGTCTGCCTTCAGCTCCGGTCATGATCCCAGGGTCCTGGGATCGAGTCCCGCATCGGGCTCCCTGCTCGGCAGGTAGTCTGCTTCTCCTTATCCCACTCCCCCGCCTCTCATGCTCTCTCTCTCTCACTCTCTCTGTGAAATAAATAAAATCTTAAAAAAAAAAAAAAAAAAAGAATACCGCCACTGCCTGTTCTCCTAGCGGAGCTGTACCTAGGATTACACGTGCTGGGCCTGCCAGTATCACCAGCTCCTACTGAAATCTAGGGCTCACTCTTGTTGGGCCCTATGTAGCATTCAAACTCTGTGACATTTCCAAGCCATTCACATTTTGTCACATGTGAGGTCTAGCGAATGGGACTGGTTGAGTCCCAAAAGCACATCTTGCAGTTAGTGCCTGAGGGGGCTCCTCTGTCATTTTCCCGGCAAAGCCTCGTAACACATTCATGCCGTCGATCCTCTGTCCTGTACAGGTCCTGATATCTGAAGGCTTAGGACGGTATGCAAGGGACCCAAAATTTGTATCGGCAACAAAACACGAAATCGCCGATGCCTGCGACCTGACCATCGACGAGATGGAAAGTGCAGCCAGCAACCTGCTCAACGGGACGGTGTATCCCCAGGCTAACGGGGGCGTGGGCCCCGTCTCCCACCGGCAGGACTATGAGCTCCAGGACTTCGGGCCAGGCTATAGCGATGAAGAGCCTGACCCCGGAAGAGATGAGGAAGACCTGGCAGATGAAATGATCTGCATCACCACCCTGTAGCCCCCAGGGAGGGGCAGACTGGCTCTGGCCTCAGGTGGGGCGCCGGAGGGCCAGGGAAAAAGTGCCTCGTAGTTAGGAAAGGTTAGGCACTAGTGTGGAGTCCATGTTCAATTAGACTTTTGTACAAGTGATGTCATGCCTCACGGAAGCCATAAACCTGGTAGGGGACAGCCGTTCCCCCGTGCCCAGCCCCAGCTGTGGGAAGCAGCAGGTCCAGCCCTCAGGGGAGGACCCGTGAGGAGGTGGGACAAGCCCTGCCCGCTTGTCCAGGGCACCCCCGGGGCTCTCCCCTGCGCCCACCCACCTGCTGGCACGGTGGGGAAGGTCAAGGTGATGACGATCACCACACCTGTGTCATTACCTCAGCCATCGGTCTAGCATATCAGACATTCACTGGGCCCAGCATATCCATTTTTAAACCCTTTCCTCCCAAACACACTGCTTCCCGGTTTCTGTTTAGCTGTTCTGAAATACAGTGTGTGAATCAGGACCTACCTACCAGCCGTCATCTGGAGAGGGGAGCAGGACCTTAGACACGAGGCTTTCTGTTATGTGACCCCAGTTTACAAGAAAGAGTGTCACTCAGTCGGTTTCTGACTGTCAGCTCAAGGGCAACTGTAAACTGGAATAATCATGCACTCGCAACCAGGTAAACTTAGATACGCTAGTTTGTTTAAAAATTATAGATTTACTGTACATGACTTGTAATATACTATAATTTGTATTTGTAAAGAGATGGTCTATATTTTGTAATTATTGTACCGTATTTGAACTGCAGCAATATCCATGGGTCCTAATAATTGTAGTTCCCCACTGAAATCTAGGTATTATTAGCATTTTTACTCGGGCTGTACAGAAGTAGGAGAAATAGAGCCAATTCTCATCTATTCCGTGAAAATCTTTTGGAGATGAAATTTTAAGTTCAAAAGAACTTGACACTATAGAGATTTTTTCTAAAAATATTTTGAGTCACTCTAAATCTACCTTTACACAAGATATACCAGATGACTCCTTAACAACCTTTGCTTTGGGCAAGAGTTCCAGGATTTGACAGTGTACCTTTGGTCCACCGCAGGCTGCACCTGTCTTTGATTTTACTGACCCTCTGCTAAGCTCGTCCCGTCGGTCGAGCTGGTTCCTCTGACCCTATGGCATTCACAGCGGCATCCCCGCTGCCCCCACAAGACCTATTTTGCATCTCTGGTGTAGAAAGAATCGAACAGGGGAATGAAGTTCCTCTGCCCTCGCTCCCTGAGGATGGATGCTGCTGCTGGTCTTAAATAGGGGTGCTGGGGAAGGGGGGCGGAGGGGCAAAGCCGTGATCTGCAGGATTAGAACGTCGGGTCTGTCCAGGTCGTATTGTTGCCTTTTTACACAACACTGCTGTACTGTGTGTTCTCTTTGAGGGCTTTTATATGCAACTGAATGAGGGCTGAAGTTTTCATTAACGTACGCACACTCCGGCTGTGCTTCCTGATGAAAACCCACTTTTGGACCACGAGACCCACCAAGGCTTCCCTTTCTGTTCAAGGAATCATGCCGACTTTGTCAAGTTACCTTGGCAGGGATTCCCTGAGGTCAAAAAAAAAAAAAAAAAAAAGAATTAGCAGTTTTTTGGTTCAAAATTTTTAATATTACCTAGACAACCTGTTAATGTTTTGGGTTTGTTTTTTGTTTTGGGGGTTTTTTTTTTGTAAATAACAATACTTTGTTATGAAGACCTTACAAACCTCTTCTTAAGACATTCTTACTCCAGATCCAGGCAAAAACACTTGAAGGTTTGTAAATGACTATTTCCTGACATAAATTTTTTTTAATTAAAATGCAAAATGTTCTTCAGAATAAAACTGTGTAATAATTTTTATGGTATGAGGGAGCTCTCGTTGCAAAGAACTGGTGTGGGCCAGTGAGCGCTCCAGAAGGGGCGGGCACTCGGTGAGGGCAGTTCTGGGACTGGGTAGCTTCTCTTATCCTCATCTCTCCCTCCTTGAGGCCCACGGTCACTCAGCACCAGCTGCAGAGAGAGCACAGTTTCTCCTCAGGGGCTAAGCCACCCTCCCCATCACCTCTGCTGGGCATTGTTCTCACTGTGTGGCTTCTCAGCAGCAGTCCTACCAGGATGGGGTTTTCTGGTGCAGGCTGCCATTTCTCCCCGTCGGTACTTAAAACTGGCATGCGTCCAGGCTGTGCCAGTCCTAACAGGCCAGCGTTCAACCTCCCATCTACCATGAAAATGTTCTTTGTAGGACCAGTTTGAAGTTGCCGAGCCATGTGGTGGTGGTTTTTTTTTTTTCCCCTTTGCTTCAGGAAAGTTTTAAGATGCACTCTCGCTCCTGTTTGGCTCCCCTCCCAACCCCCTATTTTGTTGTGTCCCCAGGAATAGTACATTTGGTGTTTTTTCATATCACAAATGGAAAGGGCAGCTCTGATTGAACTCCCAACCGGCAGGAACCTTGTTAACAGCCTTTTCTCCGGTTTCCATCCAGATGGCCAGGCCAGACGGGGCTTTCCAGCTCTATCCCCCCGTTTTGGAGCCTGCCCGAAGCCAGGAAGCTTCTCGGTACACAGTGTGGGCTTTACCTGCCTTACTGCTGATCCCACGTTTATGAAAGGAACCAGGGTAGTTTACTTCACAGTTTATATTTTATGGTCCTCAGTGTCCTTGCCAGTGGTCTGTTTTCCTTCAAAGGTTTCCATTGTTATGATGGACTGTAGGTTTGTTCTAAAAACCGGTCAGCGACAGAGCTCCAGTTCCTTCCCCGACTCAAAAACAGACACCAGCGAGGCTTGCATGTGTTGACAAAGTTTTTATTTCTCCAAAAGGATATTCCTTCTTTCCTGGGGACCTGAGAAGGCAGGAGAATGGGGAGCAGGCCTGGGGCCTCTGCCTCCAACGTGGGAGCACCAGCGAGAGCGGCCTTGCAAACACCCAGTGGGGATGGCGGCAGGAGAGAGGACTGGGGAGGCTGCTCGCCTCTCAAGACTGGGCTGGTGGAGAGGGCGTGCGCTTTCTTCTGGTTTTTTAAGAGAAAAGGATGTAGGTATTAGATCTGATGTTAAGTTGGTGGAGACAGGAAATAGCCTTTGTGGGGAGGAAGAGGGTTTGGCTGGAGACAGGCTCTATTTGCATTTATGGAAATGAGGATTCCCACAGTCGGCCCTGGAAGCAGGAAGGCTGGGCGTCCAGGAGCCAGGAGCAGGGAGCTGGGTACCAGGGCCTGCCATTTCCTGGTCCTGCTGCCAGCGGGCCACTCCTCCAGCTGTGCCTTCTGTCCCCCGTTCAACCCGGAAGAACCTTCTGCTTATGCAGCAGCTGGAACACACAGGCTTCTTCGAAGGGGTCCATGCTCGGAGCCTGATCCAGGTACAAACACAGCTCGGTTACACGTTTTCAACCACTGTTTGCAAAGTACATTCTTCCATTGGTTAGTATCATGGGCTCTTTGCTAAGGGGCTTAAATAAGCTTCCTCCCAGGGCTGAGTGCTGGCTTGGTGTCTGGGTGCCCCAAGGGCTGCCTGACCCAATGGGCACTCTTCTCCCCTCTCTGGCTTCCTCAGCCAACAGCCTTCTTTCTGAGGTCCAGGGTTCCCTCATGGCAGTGGAACTTGGGGACAGCCCGCTGCAGCGACACGGGCCAAGGTTCCACTCTGCCAGACGGCTGCACGCTCAGCTGTCAGGGCTCGAGCAAGCCGCCACCCCTAAGCTCAATATTCTGCCCTGTGGCTGAACCCCAACAGCACAGTGTTCCGCTCTGACTTCGGTGGGGCCTGGGTGTAGAACACGCACCATCTTCTCTTCTGAGAACTCATTTCTGCACACGGCTAAATTGCGTGATCGTGTGGAACAAGGCTCAGTGACCAAGAGTAGGGGAGGGGCCCAGATGTCATCCGGCCGCCCATACAGCATGACGCACCTCCTCTGACAATAGGTCATTCTGCTTATGATGCAGGCACAGTAGCAAGCCAGCCGCTGTCCCAGAGACGGAGACCACCGCAGCACAGAGACCACGGAACGGCATGGCTGCGCCACGGCCACACTCAGGCCTGGGACCCCTCTACCCACCCAACTTGCTACTCGTTGGCCCTCTGAGCCGGGGTGGGGGGCGGGGGTTGGGGCCCGCACTGCCCCACTGTTCTTTCACCCCTGCAGGCGGCCCCAGGACCCCGAGTATGGTGGATGTGGACCACGGCTGCGGGACAGATGGGGAACCTCTCTCTTGGCCCACTTAGACCCTCCCTTGGAACAGAAAATAAAGCAAGAGGCAGGTAAGATGAAACCAGAGCTACTTCAAATTTGTGAAGGAAGGAGAGGTGTGATGGTTTTCTTCTTCCCATCTTTCTGGAAAGTCTTACAATGGCAAGCTGTGGCTGTCTGGCCTCCAAGCCATCTCAGTCCACTCTGATCCTGGGCGAAGCCTGGAATGCCCCCTTTCCCTCCCCTCCTTGTTCCGGGGCAGGTTTCCAGGGCACAAGTCTTTTCTCCCCTGCCGCAGATGGTGGCTTCGGAGATCTTCAATCCAAAATTCATTTAGTTTTCATTACCTCGTAAGAATAGTCTGGCTAAGGCATCTCCATTCAAAAATCAGTTACTGGATTACGTTGTTGAATTGTAGGAAACTGAAAGATCAAAGAGCTATTTTAAATGCTACTTGTATCTGGTTTCCCCCCGCCCCCCCCCCAACTCAAACCTTTGCCCATTTATTTTCACGGGATCAGGTATATATGTGCCTCAACTGTTTTTTTCCATCAGCCTCAGCTCCATCCCAGTCTGTTCCTGTGGATGGCTGCGGAATACGAATTAGCCAGTTTCGTCCACTGCGAGTTGCCTCCCCAGGCTGACAGGAAAGCATCCTCTTGGACTAGCTGCTTCGGCTTGGAGCAGAGGTCTGGTCTGTGGGGTTTGCTCTAGGTTTCTAGGTTTCCCTGGTAACAGGAAAATCATTTAAAATGCTAAATCAGGAAACCTATGGTAGTGAAGAGACTCTCCAGACTCTTCTCTGAACAAGGTCCAGAAATCGGGCTGTGTTTAGTAAGAACCAGAGCATTGGAGAGGTGGGCCCTCAGAGTGACCCAACTGGAAAGGGACTCAGGAAGCAGAAGAGAAAGAAGCCTGTGTTTCTTCAGGCAGGCAGCCTTCCCTCTGAACGGGGACACTGGAGGCTTAGGCACGGGCCTCAGCTACAGCCGGCAGCCTGAGGCAGAGGATGCCCGCCCACTGCAAGAACCCCGTGCCGTCTAGGCAGCACCCAGCCTCTGGAGCGGCTTGCCTTAATTAAAAGGGAGCCCTGGGAGAGAACCGCTTCCCTCATGTCCGACCAAGACCCTGGGTTGCAGAGTGCCATGGAGTATAAGATAAGGCCATGGTAGCAGTTAGCCATACTCCTCCACTGCCCTGCCCCCCCAGTCCCCTCTACTGCCCCTTCAGGGGGCGGTGGGGGGGGGCGCCCACAGGAAAATGCTGGGGAAAAGAAACCTGTTTCGCTGCCTGATACCGGTCTTCCAGCCTAAGCAATTACACATTCTCAGCCACTGAATTGTAATATTCTGGACAGTTTCAGGAAAGGGCACGGGGGGGCAGGGGCTGTGCTGACCCTCTTGGCTTGGCAGGAGGCTTCTCGGGCAGTGACCGCCTCACCGCTGGGTGGCCAGGGTCCCAGGCTTGTAGACAGGGACGTCCTCGTCCCAGAGTGCAGGCTGCCCCTTGATGATGTCTGCTGCTTTCTCCGCGATCATGATTGTGGGGGCGTTAAGGTTGCCGCTGACCACACTGGGCATGATGGAGGCATCGACCACCCTGAGGTTCTGCACCCCAAGCACCCTGGTCTGTGGATCCACCACGGCTGTGGGATCAGAGGGCTGGCCCATCTTGCAGGTGCACGAGGGGTGGTAGGCGCTGTCTGCTTTTGCCCGCACGAAGGCATCTATCTCTTTATCTGACTGCACGTGGCTTCCTGGCTGGAGCTCCTTCCCCCGGAATGGTGCCAGGGCTTTCTGGGCAAAAATTTCTCTGGTCAGCTTCACACACTGTCGGAAGTCCTTAATGTCGGTTTCTGTCAATGAGAAAGAGGTAGGTGAGGCGACTCCTCTTACCAGCGGATTCTGAGCCCGGAGAGGCTCGGTAAGCTGCCCAAGGGGACACAGGTCAGCGCCTACCACCCCTCTGATCCCACGGCCCTGGTGGATCCACAGACCAGGGTGCTTGGGGTGGAAAACCTCAGGGACACGGAGCTACCAGGTCGTTTGTCACCTACTCCCAGCCAGTTAGACCGCAACCAGGCAGCATCCTCAGCGGACACATCCGGCCCCAGAGGCCCTGGGTTTCAATCAAGGGTGAGAGTACACAGCCTGCCTCCTGCCACTGTGGCTGTGAGCACGCCCCGAGTCATTGCTGGGCAATGGGGCGTGCTCCTTTTTGCGGCAGGCCCAGGAATGTGATCTGCTTTTGCAGGAGGATGCTCAGAGTAACCTCAGCACAGATGTTCTGTGCACACAGCCAGATCTCCCTGCACCTTCTGGCAGGTTGTTCTGAAAGCTGCAGCTCTCTCCTCCTGTGTCAAAGGACACACCCAGGTTACTTCAAGCGACCCAGGGCACGCAGTGTGTGAGGGGGGCAGAGGGTGACTTGTGTATCAGAGGTAAGATTCAGTGACAAATGCGAACCCCATAAAGGCATTCATTCGTTGAGTGAATGACCTGGCAAGCCCAGGCCTGGGAGAGACCAAGGGGGTGGTGAATTACCTGTTGACAAGTAGTTGGGTTGAATCACAGGGTGGTCCCGGGGGTTGGCACTTCTCAGTTTGAGCCAGCCCACGCTCGTGCCCCGCATGGTCCCCACATGCACCTAGAA